CTTCAAAAACGTTTGCATAATAAGTCAAATCTTTATATAAAAATCTTTATATAAAAATCTTTATATAGTTTGCATAACAATGGTCTTTTGTTAAAGCGTTCTTTAGCTGGTATAAAGACGTATGCACGTGACTAATTTCTTACTCAAGATTGGATAATTGGTTCATGAATTATTAATGAGTTTTTGAAAGCGAGTTAAAAAGTACTTGTCCACTATACGTTGTTTTTCATTTAGTCTTCACAGTTCTAACTCGTGGAAGATGTATGTCATGCAGTTGTAGTTGCTGAGTTGCTCTAAATATTTGTCACTTCATTTCTTTTAGCAAACATATCACATATTTCTGGAGCTGCCATATTTTTCAGTGCTTACGGTAGTAGAGTTTTTTCCAGTATGAATATGCAGCTACTCCCATAGTTGCAACAGTTGTACTGATTGTGTTTTACCAGTTTTCCCTGGTATTATTCATGTTCTACGATACAATATGTTGCCATGCAAATCTAAACGTGGACACAATATTTTTACCTTTATTGCATCTTGACTTGCTTTCATTTCATCTTGACTTGCTTTCATTTCATCTTGACTTGCTTTAATATCTTTGCAGTCGTGGCATTTGGCGATTCTAAACTGGCAGAGTTCTCGCTCGTGGATTTCTTTATCTTTTTTATTGACCACCGTCCCACATCCTTCATTTCCACACATAACAGGCGCGAAGCCACATCGCTCAACATGATGCTGTAGATTTCCAAGCTGGACGTAGCCCGGACATCCTCGCTCATTGTAATCGCACTTGATCTTCAGCTCTGATAAGGTATTCTTCAAAAATCTCGGTGGATCTTTGAGGGTTTCTGGGGTCAGGTGTTCTCTGCATTCAGGACATGTGTGGGAATTACGAAGATGTTGAGATATACAAGAAAGACAAAATGGATGTTCTTTATTCTGGCAAGTTCGTGGATTTCTGAGCACCCCTTGACAAATGGAGCAAAGTAGATCTTCTCTGACTCGACCTTCAAAACGGCTGTCATCGTAACCTTGCTGATGATAGCTGTGTGCCATTGTTTAACGCTTAGCTGAAAAACGAAACAACTGTTGTTAAATTATGGATGTGGCCAGCTTTGAATCCTGTACTAGACACATTTCTGATTATTTCATTTTACCTCAAGTCCACTCCAATGTTTTATATAGCAGTAAAACTGAATGTTTAATGCAGATAAGCCAATCACATAGATAGTGTTCATACACTGGAACTCTATGCGCAATATTTTATTCTGGCTAAAGCACTTATAGCCCCTTTACGGAAATATGCATGATTCATTTCCAAAAATTAAGGGTTTTTTTTAATTAATCGTATCACTGAACAGACTCTATCATGTGCATTGTAATATTTCTAACGAGGGAGCGTAGGGTGAACTTTTTAACTGGGGGGGGGGGGGGGGGGGGGTGTAACATCTAAGTTTTGCCGACGACCACGTTGCGCTTGAAGCGAAAGAATCTGTTTTATCCAATGGCCTCGTTTTCATGTCAACTACTTACTCATGTTTTGTGCTTAGTATGATTGAAAATTACTTTGTTATTGAGCCTAAGAACAGCAAGAAACAAATTCGTCCAGGAAAACATGGAAATATAATCTTTATCTGCCCCTGACATGCTTTTAAAATAAGTTAACGTGGAAATGAGGGCAAATGATGTTGTGTAAAAGAGAATAATCGGTAAGGTCTATTAAAAATAAAAAGACTAAATGCGAGCATTGTCGTGGATCAGTACATGCTGCATGCATTATCCCATAGTTGCCAACTTCGGCGAAAAACATGCGTGAGATTTTGTTTTGGGGGACCCACGCGCCACGAGGCGCCACCATGGTTGGCGGCGAGCGGAAAATTTTTGAAAATATGGAGTCTCTAGATCGTTGGAAATGGCATTTTCAGAGTCTTCTATACCTTATACACACAAGTTTTGGTAGCTTTTATTTATATTAAACAAAACCATATTGTTGAATACCCACGAGTTTGCATGTAGAGATGTTTTGATTATGTATTTCAGAAGGAAAAAGTTTTATGTAATTAGACGCAAATGAACTTAATGAAGTCACTCTAATAGTTAAAATGTGCAACAAAGCCAACATGATTAAGAACTAGTTGTGTTATTTTCGAAATCCGTGAGATATTAACAAGCTGTGAGTGTGAGCTCACAGTGAGGTTTTACTCAGGGGCGGCGCTAACCCTCTTCGAGTGGGGGGGGGGGGGGGTTGCCGACTGTTGGGTTTTAATTTGCGAGTCATAGCCTACCATTTGATTTTTGAGGGAGGGGGGGTTGGAAGATTCAGACTGTGCAAAAAAATTTTCCGCCCAAGGGAACAAGACAGATACATTTTTCCTGTAAAAGTGCAGCACAAGATATTTTCCCCCAATATATTTCGCGGCAGAATATTTTTTGCGCTTTCATACCTGACTCTTCCACAGTCCATCATTCGTACGCGCTAAGCACCGCGCTCCCATTGTTTTTCCACTGATCTCTATTCCTAACTGAAGCGACGAGGGACGAGGCAGCTTTCATACAGCTATCGTCAGAGACGTAGCCGGGGTTTTCAGTCAGAGGAGGCTGAGAACTGAATTCCAAGAGGGGCCAAGGAATTTTCACTGTGCTTTATTTTATATGGTTATGTCTTAATGTTCCCCACACTAAAGCGTGCAGGTTTACTTACAAAAAATGTATAACTGCACCAAAACCTAAAACAATGTAGGGATAGAGTAGACTACTCGAAAATGGGGGAGGTACAGAAATTTAAAATCTAGACTCTCTAAACTGGCATTTTCGCATTAAAATCATCGTATATGCAGTACGTTCAACTTGCATCCTGTAGATGGGCCTTTGAAGCTTTAATAGTTTGGAGCTATGTTATCAAAAAACGCACACAGACTCAACCATCCAAAAATACTTTTTCTACCATGCATATTAGATATTTATAAATAACGTATAAACTTGTACATATCTTAAGCCCAGATTTTCTCAGGGGGGGGGGACAATTTTGCCAGGGAACGCCACAGGCTATATCGTATATGTTATAGGCTCCAAAGGCGGTAGAATCCCTATCATGTTGTCCACTGTTCACCCCGTTTTCACCCCGTGTTCTTTTAATCAAATGTGCCTGCTCAAAAATGCAAAATCGTGCAAGCCTGTGGACACAATACTGAAGTGAAGAACGTTGTGCGCTCTCTTTTGCATGATTTTTTTTCTCGATTATATGCTGCATGATTTTTTTTCTTTCTCCTTGGATTGCAGGAATTTTTTTTAAATCTTCCACCCCCCTCAAAAATCAAATGGTCCGCCCCTAAATGCGTTTTATTACCCTCTATTAAGCCGATTTTCCACTAGCGAATTTTTCCGCGCGAAGCGACCTTTTTCCTTTGTCGGCATCCATTTTGAAGCCCTCGAAAACCGTCAAAATTGAAATCGGCAAAAAAGGGCCGACCTAAGTTTGACCTAGGTCGGCACGTCTCTCGGCATTTCTTAAAATCTGTTTCACGTCTTGGAGCACTATTAATCACAATTACGAATCATTGAAATCGGAATATGACTGGAACGTTACCTCCAGCCGGAAAATTTAAAAGTTGTAGCCAAATTTTAACTCCAGACGCGCGAAATTTGATTTTCAGACACCTAACGTATATACACAATACCAGTCAATTTTTAAACCTTACACCGTGTGTGTTCAGTTATTCGAACTACGAATCGAATTCTATAATCGCTGACTTTTTAACAGCTAACAGCACCAAACAATTCTTACTTTGGTTAAATTAAGGTTGGCAAAAATTTGCCGACCTTGGGATGCCGACCTCGTTTTCGAGGACTGATTTTGCCACATCTTGCTGACGTAATAAGTGATACCGACAAAGGAAAAGGTCGCTTCGTGCGAAAAAATTCGCTAGTGGAAAACCGACCGCGTTTTGCCTCTTTTATAGAACAGTATAATAAGCAACAACAACTGAACAACCAAACAAATTTAATTAGAAAGAATTTGCATTGCTGCATGTGTGGTTTTTTGATGCATGCTAGTCGTGATATTCGGTTTGAATTCAATTATTCAGGAAGTCAATTTTGGTTTCTTCAGTGGTTATCTTTAGCCAATCCAGTTTTGCCGACGATAATAATTTGCCGATTTGCTGACGAGTGGAGGGGGGGAGGGGGTGTTACACCCCTCCCCCCCCCACACACACACACCCTGTAGCGCCGCCCTGGACTTTTACTTGAATCAGTGACCGCCCCTTATACGCTACATATAACATATACCATAACAGCTATACAGCAATTGACAAATAAATCTTTCGGCGCGCGTTTAATTTAATGACACTAACCGTGACTTTAGTCTGCCGTCTGGAAATAACGTAAAACCAGAAACGCAGCAAACGCTTTATTAATTGGAAAAATTGTACTGTCAATAATAAATATATAAATATAATCTTTAATTCTCTGGCGTATCATTGTATCAAGGTCAAAAGTTCGCGCACAGTTGAACATGTCCAATCAGAACCGACTATTTTCGCAGCTCTGGCAAGTGTAATACGATAGGAAATTAGGGGCTGCAAGAATTACGTACATTTTGCATAACTTTATTGGAGAACAAGGCACAACATTCATTTAATTTTATTGATTATTAAAAGCCATTTACCGAGGAGCAAAATTCCACTTTAACCGATTTGTTTTACCGACCGCTGTCATGGCTCTTGCCATTACCGAGTAACTAAGCTTGACGTTTTACCGACTACCTCACTAAAACTGGGGGTGTCACCCGAAAATCGACGTTTTGAATAAGGTCCTTCGTTGGGTAGTCTGACGTGACTTCTGACTCCCCGAAGGACCTTCGCTCGGAACGTCGAAGCTTTACTGTATTTTGTTTTGTTGAATCTTTCTCAATCCACAGCTTTCTCGTGTTATTGTAACTACCTAGTTATTGTACTGCTTTAATGCAATAATGCTGCAAAGTTTTAATTTATTGAGCAATACAGCCCATATAGAGTGTAGATTTACACAGCAATAAGTCTGATTATAATTATTTGTTTTATGTGAACAGAGTACATACTTGTACAGTTATACATTACGGTTCTTTTGATTTTGCAAATTCATCTTGAGATCATTTTACCATTTGCTTTCATGAAAATCCGGACACTGAAGAGCTTTGCGACTTTAATAATCGTGCTGCCTTCAGTTGAAATAATCTTGCTGTTCTGCCTACTGAGGCGCATCAAGTATGCTGAGCTATTAACAGCTGAGATCTTGCTCTTTATAAACACACAAAAGTTGAAAATATCCTCTAGATCCATCGCCCAAAATGTGGTTTGAGCTTTCAACCTTCAACCATACAGCCTCCCCTGTCAAGCTATCAAGTCTACACTACAGACATTGCTGGTGAAATCTTGTATTCTATCTGTCTCACTATCGTGTCCACAGGGTTTAGTAGTACCGCGGTATAAATACGCAAGATTGGAATTCTCAAACATTGAGAATCTAGTCGACTGCTCTACCTATATGAAGCCTGGTCCTCACTACCACGCAAACATAACAGATCACTAGCACGCAACATAAATAGTCTATGGTTGTAGCGAAGACAAGACTTAGCTATCAAGACGTCCACCCGCTCTTCCTATAGAGCAGATTTGTGAGCGAGTTAAAAGCAAAATTACACTTACCAATGACAATGTCGAGGGATGGTGACAGATTATTACATTTTGAAGATTCTGTAACACATTGATTTAGACGGCGTCGACTGTATTTTGTGTTTGAGACAACACTTAATTTTGTCGTAATATGTATTGTGTTCAAAACATCTCGTGTGATTTGAACGTCAGCCTCTCAACGTCCTTATAAGGAGATCGCCCACGCTGAGAGATTTACATGTGTTTGGAATTCTAAGTATCATTTGGTGATTTGGTTTCATGTAATTCAATTGAACTTAATTAACGAACCTGTTTCTAATGATTGAATAACTTAAGTTTTTGTTCATTTATTACAGACCTTCATGTAATAAAAGATAGGCATAAAGAACTAAGAAAATTCAGAAA